TGTGTGTGTGTGTGTGTGTGTGTGTGTGTGTGTGTGTGTGTGTGTGTGTGTTTGTGTGTGTGTGTGTGTCTTTGTGTTTGTGTGTGTTTGTGTGTGTTTGTGTGTGTGTGTGTGTGTTTTGTCAGTATTATAAATATGTGTGTGTCTGTGGAGTCTATGTATGTATTGCTAGCTTCTGTTATGTTATCTGAAGTTACAAAAGTATGTTTTCTTACATGCATCATACTTTTATAGAAATGTGTAGTTTTATTTTGAAATTGTTTACTGTAATGATCTACACATTGCTGACTGCTGACTTGACTTATGCTATGATATTTAATGAGTGATTTGATTTGATTCGTTACATTTTTATTGTTCTATTTTTGTTTATCTGACATTTCAGAAAAAGAAGTGAAAACAAACTACACAGCTTTGAATTTGATGGTGGGACCACAACGTAATAAAGAGAAAATGAGTCCTGGAAGCTAGTGGAACATAGATCCTGGCAGACCATTATCCATAAACTGATCTGTTTTTTGTTGCACTGCATTCTTGGAAGTCTAGCTGCATCTGGAAAATACTAGACTTTACTGCCAAAGCATTATAACAGCACCCCGACTGAGTATCAATGTTTTTTTAATACCTCTTCTTAGATAAATGAATGCTATGAAGAAACGAGGTTTGTGTGAATCTGCATTGTTTCGAAAGGGACATAATTATTTCCCTTATACTAGTATGGAATAGAGAGCTTTATAAATGCAATCTATTATTATTATTATTATTTCTTTATGCATGTTAACCTGTCTCAATTTCTGTTAGAATGAATTTACAGAACTTATTATTTGTGACAACATTTTTTTTAAAAACGGGAATGTTTGTTTAGTTTAGCATAATTTTTTTTCTTCTATTATCCTTCACTCACTCATCATTATGGGGACAGGTAGGTTTTCTATGGGATGCACAAAAAATAATGAAACACAAAAGTGCCACAGCACAACCTTGATGATGCATCTAATTATTTTGATTTTCTTTTTTCGAAACATCCACTAGGGTTTGGGGTCCATTTATTTTTTTAAAAGCTTTTTATTTTGTCCTTTATACTGCTAAGGAAAAAAAATATGGTTGTTTAAGTTTGAATTTGTAAACACTTCTTCACAAGAACAGTCATTCAGTGTAGGAAAAGGTAAGAAAGAACAGGTAGAAAGAAGAGAAAAGTAAGACCTATCATGGGTGCTCTCCAACCACCCACACGGAAAGGTTGTGGATATTCCTTACGTTTGTTTAAGTTTGATGTCCATTTACATAGACTGGGAAAGTTAATATATTTGGTTACAATTGACCTATATGTCCATTGTTACATGCACAAATAATACATTTTCTCAGTGTGTTGTTAGTTTTCAATTATTGCAAACACATCAAAGTTTTTTTCATAAGAGTTTTACAGCATTTGCAATGTAATATAATCATATAAGTGCAGAAGATTAGAGGTTTTGCAAGAGAGTGACAAACACAAAATAGAATGAGGGGAGATAAGGAGGATAGATGTTTTTATAGGAAAGAAGGAGCAAACCACACCAGAGCACCTGCCAACCACCCACTAAACACGTGGAAGGGACACTAGATGTTTTTGGTTGCATTGTTGTCTTTCGTATGGGAATGTTTAATAGCTTCTGTTTTGCTTTTATAAGAATTTCTTCACAGAGGTGTTTCAGATCCTTTTTTGAAGATAGTGCATTTATGCTCCTGTTGTAGATTTATATATATATATGTTTGATAAGGAACCACTACAGCAGGTGATGTGAATTTGCATACATGAGTGAACAAGAATTACAATGAATTTGTCAGATTTGTATTTTATGTTTCTTGTCAAATTTAAAGCTTTAACCAAAGCAATTTTTATGCGCACAAATAAAAGCTATTTAACTTATCTTGTATTGTTTTCTTTCAATAAATCACGTTTAATTGTGTTATCAGCAATTAAAGGCTATAGATTAGAACAAAACTTGTGTTACATTTTATGTTACCAGTAATAAAATAATGTTAGTAGTTACTATGGAGGTATTTTGACAAGAACAGGATGGTTCAATTTTCTTCAAAGATGAGAACCATTATGTAATCAATGAAGAAGGCAAAAGAGCTAAAAATTACACCAACGTTGTAGAAAGACTGACTAAACTAGGTAGGGTTACAAAACGAAGTGGCTATTTGGACTCGAGTTTGAATAGCCTCCTGTGGCTATTCGGACTCAAACTTCAATGTGCATTAGATCTACTTTGAATGACTGACTTTTGTTCCCTTTGGAAGGGTTTTAATTTTTCTCTTTTTAATTTCTTACTGGACTTCCAATAGATCAATGACTTTGTCTTTCTCGTCAAATAAAACGGGTTTAGACAGCCTATTGATAGTTATAATCCTTTGTTGTTCTGAAACTTTGATTTTCATTTTTTTTCATTACTTTGAGCTCAGATTGCCATTCCCCAGTTTGCCTTTGTTGTGTGATATTTCAGATTTTGCAACTGTTGTTTACTTTTGACATCGCTAATACTTTTCTTAATTTGTGTCGAAAATTTTGGCCAGATCGTAGAAACTGAGGAAGGCCAAGGTCGAATTGCCTGTCTGCTTCACATTCAGTACACGCATTGGAGTTTGAGTCCTAATAGTCATGGGAGGCTATTCAGACTCGAGTCCGAATAGCTGCTACCTTACAAAAACATTCATCCTTAAAGTAGGCTAAAGATAAAGAAATGAAGAGACAAGTGATACCCACTAATTTGTTGGTTTTTACAATAACGCAAGAAGAAAAACTAAAAGATTATCACCAATAAAAAAATTGTTACGACAGGCCACCCAAGTTACTCAAAATTGTAAGAGGACAAAGTAATAAAGATGCTTTCAGCTTTATAAAACACATTTAGACTCGATTGAGTTTAGCCGTGCTTAGAAACCCGTAAAATGCCAGAACTGGATTAAAACATTTTACTTTGTTGTTTTTTATAATTAGGTATGCACAAAAACTATATGAATAAAATCAATACAAAAGTGTAGCGACCGACTGCCAAGGTTACTCAAAAGTTTGGGATTTCAAAGTCAAAAAGACACTTCATGCTTTTTACAACACAGTTAGAATCGATAGAGTTTAGCCGAGCACAGACACCTGTGAAATGCCAGAACCTGTTCTTAAACATAATAATTTGTTGCATTTTGCAATTAGGCATCCACAAAAACTAAAACATTATAACCAATACAAAAATTGTAACGACCGACCGCAAAAGTTACTCAAAAGTGCGAGATTTCAAAGTCATAAAGACACTCCCTGCTTTTTATGACACAGTTTGTTTCGATAGAATTTGGCCAAGCAGAGGTACCTATGAAATACCAGAACCGGTGTAAATACGTAATAATTTGTAGGCTTTTACAATTAAGCATGAAGTAAAACTAAAGCATAATCACATAATATGTAAAAAAACGACCGACCAACTGTTAAGTTATTCAAAATTGTACGGGGACAAAGTAATAAAGAAACTTACAGCTTTATAAACACATTTCGATTCGACTGAGTTAACCGCGCTCAAAACCCACCCAAAATACCAGAACTGGGTTAAAACATAATAAATTACTGTCTTGTTTTTGTACTATTAGGCTTGCAGAAAAACTAACAGATTATAACCAATACAAAAAGTGTAACGACCGACCGCCCAAAATACTCAACGTTGCAGGAAGACAAAGTAATAAAGATACTTCCAGTTTTTATAATACAGTTACTTTTGTTAGAGCTTAACCGTGCACAGGAATCTATAAAATGCCAGTACCTGTGCTTAAGCATAATTTGTTGTACTTTATAATTAGGTATCATCAAAAACTAAAACATTATAACCAATACAAAAAGTGTAACGACGGACCGCTCAAGTTGCTCAAAATTGTTGAAATTCAAAGTTATAAAGATACTTCCCGATGTTTATAACACAGTTAGTTTCGATAGAGTTTATCCGCGCAAAGATACCTAGGAAATACCAGAACCTGTGTTAATACATAATAATTTGTTGCATTTTACAATTAGGCATGAAGAAAAACTAAAAGATTATCACCAATTCAAAAATTGTAACGACCGACCACCCAAGTTACTCAAAATTGTAGGGGGACAAAGTAATAAAGATACTTTCAGGTTTTTATAACACGTTCAGTTTGAAAAGAGTTTAGTCGTGCACAGAAACCTATAAGATGCCAGAACTGGGTTAACACATTATACTTTCTTGATTTTGTACAATTCGGTATTCACAAAACTAATAGTTTCTAACCTATACGAAAATTGTAACGACTGACCACCCACGTTACTCAAAATTGTTGGAGGACAAAGAAATAAAGATACTTCCAGGTTTTTATAACACAGGTAGATCTAGTTTCGATAGAGTTTAGCCGAGCACTGGTACCTATGAAATACCAGAAAATGTGTTAATGGGTCGTGAATTCTGTAAACTCCTATGGACACAATGTAAATCAAATAGGAGACAGGCTACTTTGACATTGCCTCTTAAGATTTTCCCCAAATCAGTGGGATACAGCATCACAGCAGACAGAGATACAATCGAAACTGTATTAGTTTTAGTAAGAGATTTACGGCACTTGCAACTGAATAAGGTCATATAATATGTGCCGAAGATTAGAATTAGAAGTGCTACAAGAGAATAACAAACACAAAAAAGAAGAAGGAGGATAGAGACTATAGATTTTTTTACAGGAAAGAAGGAGCAAACCACACCGGAACACCCGCCAACCACCCTCACATTCGAAACTGTATAAGACGGCCTCACATTGTTGAACAGAAAAGTGGCTTTATTAGACAGGTGGCCATCTTACATATTGCCACTATGATAGGTCCCCTTGCGGAGCCTGATTTTTTATTTATTCGTTTCCTGAATTTAGAAATATATATTTGTCAAACTGTTCCCGTCCTTCTTTGGCCTTTGTGATTATTCCACTGAGAAACGAAACAAATCTGCGTAGCTGTCCCTCTCAGCGGAAGTGCCGGAAGTGATATTTCGCGAGGCGCATTTTATTTTGAGAGAATAGATCTAGGCCTTCTATTCTTTTTTTTTTTTGTTGCATCTCTCAAGATTTATTGTTCCATTCCAGTAGAGTGTAAATAGAGTAGGCCAATGACTTTCAGTTGATGTTAATGCACCGATCGAAAGGGGCCCAGCTAGTCTGCAAATAAAACAATAATGACTACCTCAGTTTTATTCCTCCAAGAGTGGGCATCGGGACAAGCGACTCTGTACATGGGAGCATCCTCTTGGAATTAATTTCAACAATCAACGTATATAACTTTGGTTTTACTAACAGTCATCTGTTCCAAAACACCGTCGACTTCTTAGCATTTCTTTCCCAGTAGTCCTTGGCATGGTTGATTTTTTTTTCTTCTGTTGTTTGTTGTTGTTTTTTTTTACACTGCTATGACTGA